TGTGCAGCTGCACGAGAGCCCTCTGAGAGTTGGTGGCCCATTCATTCTAAATGAGGGCATTGAAAGTGTTAGGAACTGAGTGCCGTCTTAAACCAGTTGCATATGAGAAAGTTCAGGGTATGAGCATAAATCTGTCTATTCATCTATCTGTCTTTACCGAGTAAATAAGTACGTTTGTACCTGGGCAGTAGCTGAATGGGGGCCCAGAAATTAGCACAGGGGCCCCTTGGTGACTGTGTCTGCCCCTGCTGGTGATTGGTGGTAGTTTCTTCCAAGTTTATTTAAACTGGAAGGAACGACATATGCAAACTTGAAAGCTTGCCAATATCTGCTCATTTCAGCTGCAATTTATTGCCTTGAGGGTTTCCTATTATTATATTGCTTGGCATTGTGATTGATGTATTTGAAGACAATAAACCTAAAACAAAATTAAGCATATTGATAAATAATATTCACAGGTATTGGTGTAAGTTATCTGATGCTCTGCTGTGATTGTAGAGTGAGCGGTTTGCATAAATAACTCACATCCTGATCAATAATTGAATTGAATGGCATTATAATCTGTTTCTTCCCCTGCATGAAATGGCTTATATAGACAAAATGAAAATACAAAAAAAGAAATACATTGTGAAATGCAGTATCTCAAATTTTAGGTAATAGAATTTAGCTTAGGATTTTATATTATATATTGCAATTTACTAGTGCTTCGATGTGGTGGCTGCATTAGATTTCTTTTTTTATGCTTTTATCCTTTTATTTTTACCTGGTAATCCTGCAAATGACTCACTTCCTGGCCCTGGGTGGCTTTGCTCCTCCACTGTACCTATGGAGGGAGTCATGATGCCATCAAAGCTGGACTTTACACATGTTCTGATCTTTTTCGTTACAGGGGTATTGGGGGGATTAGCAGTAGACGCAACAAAGATAATATTGTTTTTGCTTGCAGTTCATCTCGTGGAAGTGATAAGCACACCACATTTCTGGCAAAAGCAACAATTATTTTCTATATCTGCTGAAAATGGTATTGCCTGACAAAAAAAACTAATGCAGCCACCACATCTTCAGACCAGTAAACTGCAATATATTACATTTTTGTTCATGAGTTTAGTTATCCTTTTAGGAGTGGTTTTGTACTGTATATGCAGGAAATATGAGGGTGCCCAGTCCATCCTTTGCACAGGGCCAGATTTCTGCAAAGGCAACACAGGCCGTGGTATAATACAGCACACAGCCACCTATGCATGATGCTGCTGACTGTCAGTAACACATACTAATAAATAACAAAGTGTTCCAAACTGAGGTCCTGACTTTCAGTGCCATCCAGCTGGGTCCTCATTTTTGCTGTCCCTTAATAGTGTGTACATTTTCTTTAGTGAAATTGTGTACAGTTCACCTTCTGCATATACACCGAACCAAACCACTAGTGAAGTTTGGTGACAGCTTGACCAGCTCTTCTAGCCATCGGTTCTAGATATACTGATGCAGAGTGGGCAAACTATCCCTTGTGTTGTTATGATATCCAATCTCGTTAAGACCTGTGTTGGCGCCAGGCTTTGGGCTTGTGTGATGGCATCAGTTTGAGATGCATCTGAGATCATTCAGAACTCACTGACAGGTGCATTTAACCTGTAGTTGGCCTTTTTCAGATCTTCTTCAAGTTTGTTTTTCTTAGACTAAACACGTCTGACATGAACAAAACCCTTTGTCACAATGTTATACTAAGGATAGCCAGCTAACTATGGAGGGGAAGAAGAAGTAGGGTGACACAACATAGATGTGCTTGTACATGTACTGTGGAGGATTTATGAGATAAATACAATAGATAAATGTGTTCAAGAAAAAATTAAGCAATTCATCTCAGTTAAAAGATGTATACATCTGTCTAGCCGTGATTACAACTAGGGTCTATAGCCCTTCCAAAAACCCCATGGCAACCTTTGTCCATGCTCTTCACTTCTCTGTGGAAGAGGAATGAAAGTCAGACAAAACATTATAATGTGGTGCACATATAGCCATGTACTAAAATCATCTTCAGGCATTGGGCAGCTTGGTGGATAAGAAGTCAGCAATTGTGTCCTGCAGCGCTGTGTCCTGGCTTTAAATCCCATCAGGATTTCTGTCTGTATGGACTTAATATGTTATCCCTGTGCTTGAGTGAGTTTCCCGAGTGGTTTAGTAAACTGGCATTTGACCAAACTGGCTCTAGTGGTTGTGTATGTGTATTTATTGGGGGCGCACCCTACTGTCAGTGTAATCTTCTGCAGTTGCAGAGAGTAATGGGAATACATTGCATTAAGTGTGAGTTATATAAATAGTAAAATAATGATGATGATGATGATGATGATGATGATGATGATGATTGGTGTTATATATAATACTGCAGTTTTCTCAAAGTTTTTATAAACTTTCTCATTTCCACTTTGTTTCTTCATTATTTAGGTGCTCTGTATAGAAAATGCACTTAATATTTAATTTCCTTGTGGGAACATAGCTTTTATCTTTAATTTACTCCATTTGTTATACTTCAAAAATGTTCATATATTTATTTTCCATTGCTATCAGATTTTGCACACTTCCTTATTCTCACTTTTTATGGTCATAAAGCCCCTGCTGTGCTGCAAATGGTAACATAAAAACGCTGTACATTTGTCAGTGGCACTCTGGAGCACTGTTGAAGCTGCTAATTGTCTACCGTCTCTGGTATTTGGTGTGTGTGTGTGTGTGTGTGTGTGTGTGTGTGTGTATGTTTGGGTCAGTGCTTGAATAAACAGTAACCATTAAATCCCATTAGAACCCTTGCTATTTATTACTGAAATGCAGTCAGTCTGCATATACAGTAATAAATATGCTGCAAATTAGCTAAACTGCTAAGTACAGCAGGAAGAGTTAAATACCATTTGTGTGAGAGAGCCACGGTTTTACTTTCCTATATGATGGCGGCACAAGGTATTTAAACCCTTACTGTAGCACTTAGCAATGTTAAGAAAGGAAAAGAGACCCATAGTTCCTACTGTGTACAGCCTTGTAATAAATAACGAGGGTTCAATAGGGCTTAAAGCAAAATAACCATGTGCATAGGGCACCACCTCACAGAGGTTTACCTTAACTATTAACAAAAATTTAGCTTATTTGTGTATCACTCAACTATAGATTCTCAAATCATCTCTGAATTCATGCTGACACTGTCCTTCCTGCTGAAGGGGGGCTACTTTTGTTCCCCATGGCCCTGTGTATGTTGTAAAGTAGTCACCGCTCCAAGCTTGCTGCCGTGATAGACTACAATCTTAATACAAATTAGCTAACTAAATGCGAGATTGTAGTCCATCACAAGAGCGAGCTAGGAGCGATGGCTACTTACAACTCAGCACAAATTCAGAGATGATTTGGGGATCTACAGTTGAGTGATACACAAATAAGATACATTTTTGTTAAAGTACATGAATGGATTTTTAGGATCTAAATCCTGAGTTTAGTGCCACTTTAAATATTGCCCCACCACACTCATGTTTATTTGAGTTATTTGTAATTGTCGTTTCTGTCATGTTCGATTTTAATCTGAATTGCTAAAATGTTTTCTTTTGATGAGTGACTAAAGTCTAAAAGTTTGGTTTGAGATAATATCAGATCTTGTTTTGTCTTAAAACCATTAGTAGGATGATTACAAATAGATTTCAATAAATTTTTGTATGTGCATTTTTTTCTGTTGCTCTAGTTACAAGTAAATCTGGCCTGGAAGAAAACAGAATTTTTAATGTTGTATTTCACCTTCTGCACTGATTGCGTTTAATATCTTGTCAGTTAAGCAATGGAAGGGCTGAGTGGTCACCACTGTTGGGATTTGCTTAGGGAATCAGTTGGCCGGAAATCTGGCCCTGGCCCTTGGGTGATGTTTGAAAATGCACCTCGATGTGCTGAAGGCCTGAGGGGAGATTGTAGGGAATACAATTGTAATAATCAGTGTGAGGGACTGTGCACAAGAATAGAGCTACTGTCTCCATGGTATCTGTATGAAAACAGAAACATGAGGCCATGATGTTCTTTTTCTCTGAACCACCAACTGCAATCTGCTCAGTCCAGCATTTAGAATCAGAGGTAAGGTCTAGTTACGCCCCTGAGTGTATGTATATGTGCATATGTCAGATGGGGCCTCATGTTTAAGTTTCGCCAAAGGCCTCACACAGTTTAGAGCCACCTCTGATCTGCAGTCACAGTTTGTGTATTCTGCAAGCAGTGGGGGCCAGCTGTTAGAATACAATAGGGAGATTCTTTCATCCACGCTTTTTAGTATGAATGGGTGGATTAAGTGACTTCTCTCATTCAGTCCATGGGGCTCAATGAAAAAAATCTTAAAGTGTATGACTAGCTTTGTGCATCTTCCAATGGGGACACCTATTCTTGAGACAACTATGAGGGGATTCCCCTTTAATTTAGAGAGATTTCCTCTGACTTATTGTTGAACTTTCAGGAAAAGAAGCAAAGAAAAATCTCCTCAATGTAATGCCTAAAAAAATGACAGGGGTTTTAACCAATGACTGCTTAATGATCAGCATCAGAAACACAGGACCTTCTCCATTCTGGATAGTCCTTACACTTGCATCCCCCCCACTCCTTCGGTTTGCACCACCTTGACTTTTAGGGCATCTGTACAAAATATATGGTGTCACAGTCTGTATGTCCATTGCTGTATCTGCAGCTTTGAAAGATGGCAGATTGCCAGTTAGGGCCTGCTCCTGTAATGCTGAACAAGAAAACACATCTGGAAGGCTACAGATAATAGGTAATATAATGAGCACCAGCTTAACTAATGTGAAATGAAGAGAGTACACAAGATTTAAACTCTCAAAGCTACATGATAAGTGAAAAACCATAAATAGATGCCATCTGTTGTACAAAATAACACCCTCTAATCACATGGCAGACTTAGCTCATCTCTCACACATCATTATGGGTGATGAGTTAAAGTAGGGAAAGAGAACATGACGCTTTAAAGGAGTACTCACGGTCCGCACTGTAGTCATCCACTAAAATAATCTCCTGAATTAGATTTGAAGGGCTTCGAATTAAAACGCTGTATCAAATAAAGGAAATAACAGTTAGCCTTGTGAATTCAGCACTGACACATAAAACGTATTTGGCTGCATACAAGTTCTACTGTATAATGTAACCATGCCTAAAGTTAATTTAAGCTTTACAGAAGGTACACCTAATTTATAGTGCTCAATTCTTGAACAGATGGTCATTTGAGACTATTGTCCTAAAATAAATCTAACAATGAGTTTTTATTTGCAAAATATATCTCTCAGCGTTATGAACGGTACCTCAATATTGTTATTGAACATTCCATGACATACAAACTCATAACGAAAAAATAACAGTGCGCATTTGATGCCTTATTATTAATATAAATGTAGTCTTAGATGATGTAGATTTATATAATTGTGTAACCCGCAACATGAATGAAACGCGTTATACCTTTCTAGTGTTAGCAGAATGTACATATTGGATGAATGTGTGAAAAAGAGATAAAGGAACTTGTAAAAAATGTTTTGTCACCATAGAAATTGTGGTTAGAATGGCACTTTAATATGGGAAAAAAATCTAAATTTAGCATAGATTTGAGTAACACTCAAGAAGTGTTGCGGTTATTAAACCAATAAAGCACTTTGCTTTTTTCTTACTGAATAGGCCAGACAGTATCACAAAGTTACATAGTTGTTAAAGCTGTAATACATTTTTTTTCCATAATGAATCCAGATAAAAAAATATACATTACCCAGCAAAGCATTTCTTTGAAAGAGAACTATGACCTAACCTTTTTTGCCATAGTTCTCTTCAGGGTGACAGGAGGACATATACTAATGTCCTCCTGTGACCCAAAACTCAGTATATAGTGGGCTACATGCTGAGAGCGCAGAGCTGCGCCACAGCCAGGACGGATCCCGACAATATTGTCAGGATCCACCCCACTGGCTGATTGACAGCTGGCTCTGCCTCTCTAGAGCCAGCTGTGCCCGCCTTCACCCCTGTCCATTTCTCCAGTCACCGCTCTTCAGGGAGAGGATTGGGAACTCAGGTGGTATGTGATTGCTGAGTTCCCAATCAATAGAGCCGATCTGTGAAAGGCAAAAAACAAAAAGGAGCACCTCCATAGTGTAAATCTGGATTTTGATCTGGATTCATTAGGGAAAACATTATGGAAGACTTCCGCTGCTAGATGATTTGACATCCCATTGTTTTCTACATGCCTTTTTACTACCGACTTTTTGTAAGTACAATACAGTTTTGCGTTTTTATCATTAAAATTCGTTTTACACTATGGAGGCGCTCATTTTTGTTTTTTGTCTCTCAGATTGAAGGTCCTTTGACCTGTGGGAGCTGCCTCTTCAGTGTGTTCGTTACCATTGCAACTGGCCGATATTGCACGTGGAGGCGCCGGTATTGTTTCCTGTCACCCGACCTGTGGAAGCTTCAGTGTCACGAGTCGGCTTGAATTATGGGGTAGAGTGTATTTGACTGACCCCATATTTCTCCATTAAAGAAGAACTCCTGGAAATGTATTTATTAACCCTTGCAGTGGGGCTACCCCCAAACTGCAAGGGTTAATAAATAATAACAATATGCTTGATGGTGTCTATGTTTTTAAAAAAATGTTAGACTCACCAGAATCTCCAAGCTGGCTTCTTCTTAGACCGATCCTTCCGTCTCTCTCCCACCTCTGCAGCAGTCTAAGATCAGCTAAATCATCACATCTATACACAGTGTACAGACGTGCGGACACAGAAGAAGAAGGAAGGAGCGCAGTGACAGCTGGCTGGCTCGGAGCTTCGGGTGAGTATAATTTTGTTATTTTAACACCTAGGCACAAACAAGCACTTAACCCTTGCAGTGCGGGGAGTAGCCCCAATACAAGGGTTATAATAAAAAGAATTGTGGAGTTCTTCTTTAAATGGTTGCCCAAACTCTTCCAGATAACAAGGGACAGCACAGTCTCTAGCAGTGCCCCTCCACTACCTTGGAGAAGGGAGGAGTAGGGAGAAGGGGAGTGGTATCCCTTGCTGTGGTTGTATGTTTGTGGAGACACACACAGCTAGTACACACAAGGGTGGCCCCATAGGAGCCTGCAACGGAAAGGAGACACCTTAAAAAAGGAGATCAAGGGACCAGCAGATTCTGCAGGAAACGGAAACTTTTAAACATCAAGAAGCAGCATCCATTGTCGGTAATTTAATTGGCATTTTAAATAGCATAAAACATTTTTACTTTTGCGTTGTATTCAATGGCACCGCTTACACCCCCCCCCCCCCCCCCCGCAGTGCGATCGGACGCGTGTCAAAACTTTGCCAGCATTTCGTTCCACTGCAAACGCACAAAATAAGGCAAGTTTTAAGCTGTTTCAAATGCTGATTAAATCACTTACAATGGATGTTGCTCCTTAATGTTTAAAAGTTTTAGTTTCCTGCAAAATCAGCTGGTCTCCTGAGCACTGGCCCTGATATACTATTTTAGGGTGGCTCCTTTACCTTGCAGGGTTCTATGGAGCCACCCTTGTGTGTGCTAGTAATCTTTGTCTCCACAAACACACGTAAGGCAAACCACTCCCTGGTCCTCCCTTCTCTCTCCTTCCTTCTGCCTTCTTCACCCCAGTAGATGGACAGCTAATGAAGACTCCTCTGTGCACTGTAATTTTGTAAGAGACAGGAAGTTCAGGGAAGCCGAGCTGAGAGAGTCGGATGCCTGAGCGTGCCAAGATGAAAAATGTCACCTTTAGTCAATCGCTCGCACCTATAAACCCGCATGTCAGGATGCAAAGTCCATTGAGATGTTACACGTGAGCCGATTGGCTGAAGATGCAGTCTTTCATCTGGCCACGCTCAGCTACTCAAGTTCTCATACACTGCATGTGAACATCCTCGCCTCGCAGCTTTGCTTTGCTTTTCACGGCTTGGCATGCAGTGTGTCACGGACTTAACCCCTGCGAATGAGTATCTTGTCTGCAAGTTTATAGCACCCAAATGCATAACTTTGCATTTTTGGAAGTTGAACCTCATCTGCCAAGTCTCAGCCCACCGCCTATTTTATCTAGGTCTTCATGTAATGTTGCAACATCCTGTGCTGTAGTTATTTCTGTGTATTTTGTATTATCAGCAAATACAGACATTGAACTCTTAATTCCAATCTCATTGTTGTGTATTAACAAATTAAACAGCATCTAGCCCAAGACAGAGCCATAGGGCCAACCACTCACAACCCTAGCCCACTCAGAGGCTGAATCGTTTATCACTACCCTCTGCACCCATTCGTGAAGCCAGATTTCTATCCATGTACATAAACTTGACTCCATTAATGTAAAACCTTAGTTTGTTAATCAAGTATTTGTGGGGCACAGTGTCAAATGCTTTTTCAAAAGCCAGATAAATTACGTCTCCTGCCCTTCCTTTATCTAAACTACTGCTTACTTCCTTCTAGAACAGTGGTTCTCAACCCTTCTAGGGCAGGGACCCCCTTGTAACATTTGCCAAGTTGTGGTGACCCCCAACGGTAAAATTTAGGGTTGACGCCGCTGCTGCAGCGACATCTGGCAGCGTGGCGGGAGAACTGACACTGCTGTGCTAGGAGAGGGCTGAGGAGGACTCTCATCTAGTACAGCAGAAATCACACAGCGACCCACAGGTTGAGAACCGATGCTGTAACAGCTAAAATGGCAAACCATATAACACAAGCCGAGGGTGTCAGCTTTTATTATTAATAATAATGATGATAATCACTAGATGGGGACCTGATGGAGAACTGCAGATCCCCCTCTGCTGATTGACAGCAGCAGTGGGCGGGTGCTAGTTTGCTATTGCAAAGTGAAATAGCCAATAGGAATCTAGCTATGCATTCCAATGCTGATTTTTTTTTTCTGACTTACGGTGGCAGGGGCTCCGATGTTACATAGTATTTGAGGCTGAACAAAGACATTAGTCCATCAAGTCCAACCTATTAGGATCTCATTCTAGGAGTACCCGTACCCCTGTATATTACGGTCCCTTAAGAAATCGTCCAAAAGTTTCTTGAACAATTCCACATTATTTGCTGAAATCACCGCCTGTGGCAGTGAGTTCCAGACCCTAACTGATCTTACTGTGAAGAACCCCCTTCGCCCCTTGTGCTGGAATTTTTTTTCCACCAATTTTAGGTGATGGCCTCTAGTTTTTGTAACGGAGTTAATTTTAAACAGTTTATCGCTAATGTTGCTACCACCATTAAACATTTTGTACATGGAAATCATATCCCCCCTTAATCTCCTCACCTCTAATGTGAACATGTTTAAATTTAGTAGCCTTGTCTCGTAGCTCTGGTCCTCCATACCCCTAATTAGTTTGGTTGCCCTTCGCTGGACTTTTTCCAACTCAAGGACATCTTTTCTTAGTACTGGTGACCAGAACTGGACCGCGTACTCCAGATGAGGTCGAACCAATGATCTATAAAGTGGCAAAATTATAGACTTGTCCCTGCAATACATCCCCTTTTTAATACAGGACAAGACCCTGCTAGCTTTGTTTACAGCAGCCTGGCACTGCAAACTACCTTTCAGTTTGTGGTCTAACAATGACCCCCAAATCCTTCTCCATTTCTGACTTATGCACATATAGATTATTTTTTACGTAAATGCAAACACCTTTTTAATTCCAAAGTGCATTACTTTAATGTCAGAATTTTTTTTTAAAAACGATCGCAGCGAAAGGTTTACTCTGCTCGATCGAGCAGATTAAACCTTTTCGGGAGAAAGTGTTTCTCTCCCGGGCGGCCGAAAGCTGCTATCTAATAGCGGGAGACTCCCGGCGACCCCTGGCAAATTGTCTTTCGACCCCCGAAGGGGTCCCGACCCACAGGTTGAGAACCGCTGTTCCAGAATGTCTTTCAAAAACCCATGTTGATTGTTACTTATAATGTTTTCTACAACAAATTGAAGGAGATTCTCAGACACTTTGATAAATGAGACCCCCAGACATTTAGGGCTTGTGAGAACAGGTAAAGTTGTCTTTGTTAAAGCAAAGTGAACAGCAATAAATAACCCAAAATGTATTTCATAAAACCACATATATATGAGCACATTCCTTTGCAAAGTTCAGTGCCTGCTCATCTATGTTTATGTAGACCTTTATCTTTTGAACTCTGCATATTTCAATACGCATTAGTTAACAACTGACAGGAAGATCCATAAGCATTATGGGATTGCACTGATTGTTGGGCTAAAAGGTGATTTGCACTAATACATGAAAACATGGTTATGTAAATGTACACATTAAATTAGTCCTTGGTGAGTGATTTAGGACCTTTAGATGTGCAGCTAATTGTGCCAGCCACCACTTTGCTAAGCACAAAAGGTTGCATCGCGTGACAGTTTGCGTTAATGGAGCAGGCTGGCAAAGACATCTCTGAGGTAGACCCTTCAGATGGAAATTCCGGTGGAAAAAAGTGCACCACGAAAAATTGTTATCTGATCCTACTAAAAACAGCCAGACAGCGAGATCTGTGGGCAACTTGTTATCTGTGGGCAACTTAAAGCCTGCGGATTCTTGCGGCAGGAATCCCAGGTGTGCCCATTCAAGTTAATGACAGGGTGACAGCGGCCGCATCTGCCCATGGCTGTCCGCAGGTAAGTTTACCTGGTACGATTACTTTCAGATCCAGAGAGGTGATTGTCCCAGGACACAGAGAGCTTGCACCCATCTCTCCCACCCTGCAGGTAATTGTACCATGTATGATTACATGCAGACAGCCACAGAAAGATGTGCCACTGTCACCCTGTCATTACCTTCACTGGACACTGCAGCCACATCTGAACAGGCACACCTGGAATCCTTCGACAAGAATTTGTAGGTTCTTGCTGCAGGAATCCCCAAACGCACAGAAAAGCAAGTGTGCATGGAGCCTTACCCACCGACAATTTTAAAGTATAAACAATAGGGTTAGGGTTGTATATTAATTTTCTCTTCTCTCCCTGTCAAACAGAATTCTTTTTCATACCCTAAAACCATTTTTCCTGTTGTATGACTTATGTAAACTGATTCGGATATTGTACAAGCATGCCTGATATTTACTTCGTAGATCTCGTTTGTTGTCAATATCTAATATTACTATAATAACCTTAAATAGATAAATATAGAATAAAAAAAAAAAAAATACCTTCTCAGCCCATACTGTTCCTTCCCTTTGCTTATGCCATTAGAATTGCTTTACTCTCTGCTGTCACTGGGTTTGTTGCAGGCACTCTCCCACATACAGCCTCTATATTGTTATTTCAGAGCGCTCAAGGCTTCATCGGCCATCAGTCCTGGTGATGTCAGGGGTAGGAAGGGAGCAGGGAGGGCTAACTAGTTGGGAAAGCCTCTCACACACAGAGGTTGAAGAAAACTACATTACTTCTACTTGAGAAAAAGGGGAACCAAATGACACATCAAAGACAGTACAAGTGCTACTATTTACATGTTAATGATATGGCCAGCCTGCAAAGTGTAAAGTGGTGACAGCTTCACTTAAACATTTAACTTTACAGCTTTTGACGGTTGTTGGATCTATTAATCATGAGTTAAGTTGCTAATAAAAATATATATAATTTTGGTCCTCAACGGGTGCCCTTCTTAGGGTGTCTATAACATGCTTTAACTGTAATTAAAAGTTACATTTGTCACTTCTGTATAATTCCTAATCCAAAAAACGTACATAAATCTGCACATGTTTTGTCATAGGGGATTCACAACTAAAATATACATGTGCTGCTTCCAAGCAATCCACTGGAACCTCCAATAAAATGTGCTAAAATCTTTTTTTGAATCTAGGCAACACTTCAAGAATGCTCAATAAACCAATATACTGTACCACCAAAGGAATTGAAAAGCACAATGCATTGTAGCTACTCACACCCAGAGAAGGCATTTGAAATCTAACAGTCACCCTAAAGACGGGGCAGAGCCTTGGAATGCATCAGTGATGTCAGGGGTGAGGCTCTGGGATGCGCTGATCATAGACTTTGGTGGATGCTGAGACTTTTCTTTAGGCTAGCGACCACACAACAGCTGCGAGTAGCTGTCAGTAGAGATTGTGCCTCAGGCAGATAAAAAGTGCTTTAGCCCAACTCCAGCAATGCAAAACAAAAATGATATTGCTCGGTATGAAATAAAATATATAAAGTGGCTCTTCCTGTAATACTCACCTCCTCTCTGTGGCTGTTCAAACCAGACTCGCCACTGTGCAATCAAGCAATGGGGTCATCTTCCTGGTTATATGATTCCGGTGTCAGTCAAAACACTTCCTGTGAAACCAGGGCACCAAGAACCCACCCTCTAGAGGCATGCCATTGGTGAACCCTAAATTCTCAGGGAAATGCTGCAAAGAGCATGCCATATAATTATGAGTAGCAGCTTTTGGCAGCATGTAGGACCTGCCCACCACTGAGTATAAAAAGAAAGGAAGAGGATCTGTGGCATCATCTGACTGGACCAAACACAGCGGGGAAAAAGGTATATATAAAAATCCTTCTGCTAGCTTCGGTTACGGGAGCCCTTCGGCTACTCACTATAGCCCATACAGCTCCCGAAGTTGGCCGAGCGGCTCGGTAGAGCCGAAGGCATATGCTTCGGCTCGACAGAGCCAAGGTGAAATCCGAAGCTGGCCGAACGGCCGGTCGTTGGCTGGCTGAAAGCATGCTACTGACAGCTGGGCGGAGCCAGCCGTCATCTCACGGCTGGCTCCGGCCACTTGCATTGACAGATCAGCGTCCCCTGGTTACCATGTAACACTGTTCTGTGATTACAATGAGAACTCGGCAGATCGGCCGTGATATCACAGCGGCTCCGCCGAGTTCTCAGTGTGTAATGACAGTTCAGCGTCCTCTGGTTACCTAGTGACCAGGGGATGCTGAACTGCCATGAGAGCTTAGCGGAGCTGTCGCTGATATCAAAGCCGGCTCTGCTAAGCTTTCATCGTAATTATTATTATACAGGATTTATATAGCGCCAACAGTTTGCGCAGCGCTTTACAATATAGGGCAGACATTTCAATCACAATACAATTCAAGACAAGATGGTAAGGAGGGCCCTGCCCCTAATGACAGAACAGCGTCCCTGGTTCCGCCCAGCTGTCAGAAGCAGGCTGTCGGCTTTCAGCGCGGCTCAGACGAGCCGAGGCATATGCGTTCTGCTCAACTGAGCCGCTCGGCCATGTTCGGGAGCTGTAAGGGCTATAGTGAATAGCCCATACAGCAGCCCTTCGGTTCTACTGAACTAAAGGGGTCCTGGGTCCGAAGCTAGCCGAAGGATCGGCCGAAGCTACGGCTAGATCCTTCAGCTGCTTCGTGAATAGACCCCAAAGTATCAGAGGTATTTCTATTTAAAACTTTAACTGTTCCACAAAAGAATAAAAACTTACTTGTGACAAAAAATATAACTGTTACAGCTTAATTGTTTGCAAATTTCATTATATAAAGATTTATTGTATAGCAAACTTGTAATACATACTCCAAAGAAATCAATTTCCTTGTATGTTGTTTTTTTCCCCTATGTAGAACTACAGCATTGCTGTTGCTGTACATACACATGTTATCATCAACTTCAACAATGAAATATAACAGACATTCTTCAGACTGTGGCATAAAGTTCAATAGATTCTTATTCAACAGCACTTGGCATTTAAATACTTCCTTATCAGAAAGTTCATACAATGATGAGAGAACAGGGAAGGGTTTAATGTAGACATTAGCTAAGCTACAATAACAAAATGTAGGATTTGAACAATGTTATGCCATGTGCTTAGATATGCCTAATCTCCTAGGATCTAAGGACTCCAAGGATTAATATTTAGAACCTGGCAATTTAAAGCAAATCTTTGGTGAAACAAAAAAGCTCCCCTTGCAGTGGGGCCACCCCTTCACTGCAAGGTCTAACTGCTTGTTTATGTCTAGGGAACCTGTTTAAAGCAGTTTTACTTACCTGATCCCCACTCCCTCAATGGTTGGCGCTCACCTCTCTCCCCTCTGCCCCAGCTTGTGGTTTCTGCCTTAGTGTCTTCACGTATAATGCAAGGCTAATGCAAGGCTTTGGACCCTGTATTAGACATGATGACATCAGCGGGCCTTTGACCATGTAGGGGTGAAGATGTTCTGGTCCCAGTCTTGGAGCCAGCAGGAGCAGGAATCAAGTAAGTAAAGTGCTTGACACAGGTCCTCTTGACAAAAACAAGCAGTTAACTCTTGTAGTGCGGAGGAAGCCCCACCGCAAGGGGAGGTATTTTGTTTCCCCAAAGATAGGCTTTAACATTAAAGGAAACCAAGTGAATCAGGGAGGCTGCTTTTGCAAAAAATGCTTATAAAAATACCTGCATGCGTGTTCCAGGTCATTTTATTCAGAAAGTCAGGAAATCAAGCATTTAGCATTTTCAGAAGGATGCCAGTTATGGCAGCCTCCACATTTCTCCTGGCTCTTATAAGGCTGTAGAAATTGGTTCCTATTTCTTAGTTAATCAAGAAAAACATAATTGATGGTGATATAGCCTATAATACATGGGATTTCTGAGTAACTGCAGTACTGCATCACTACTTCAGGAAATCAAGTGTAGCTTCCTTCTCTTTACTAGACGAAGATGTATTGCATACAGGAATATTCTGTTACACCATCAAGTTGTTGGAGCCTGTAAATGAAGAGAACATGCCTGCTTGTTAATGAGGCTGCAAAACAAGTCTAGCGTTTTTTCTGATCCTACATAAGAGCTTCACTGTACATGATCTTGCGTGCAAGGCAGTTGCCTGACATCCAAGGATGACCAAGTCATCCTTTAGCTTGTGCTCACCTCTTGATAGTTCGGAGAAGAGTAGAACGAGCCTCATTGTGAAAAGTGATAATAACACTGGTAGATGGAAGGTCGGCATCGTAATGCACAGAGGTGCACCTGGTAAGAAAAAGAGAAGGGGCTGATTATTTGCAGTCAGTGTATGCTTACAATGAAACCACTACATGAGAAATGTTATTTAATATGTATAATTAAAATCAGATATCTAAGTTCAGTATTCCTCTATGGCATTGCTTGCCAAACCGTAGGATGTATAAACTGCTGGTATCCATCTACAATGTGGGTGGTACATTTCTTCAAGAATTAAAGTGATCCTAGCATCTGATATATTCTTCATGTTAAGGGCATGCATGCTAAGCAATGTGTATGTGCAACTTAATACCTCCAACAAAGATCATAGTATTCTCCCTGACAATGAGATCATAGTATTCTCCCTGACATCTGATTTTCTCTCCAGAAGGAGCAATCTTTGCTTAGATATTGTCCAGGGTCAGCAGCTACTTCCTGGACTGAGATGCTAGCACAGAGAGGACACGACCACACAAATACTGGTGTTTGTGTAGTTATTGGCTGTGTTTTCAAATGTTTGACACAGATCAGCCCCCCTGCAACAGCCTCTCACCTTGTGACATGCTATAAAATAGTGTTTCAAGCTGATAACTGGGGGAGAAGAGACCAAGGAGATTCATCCTCCTGATGACATCCTCTCAGCCAAGGCAAGGTCTCCTAACTGAAGTTCAAGGGCCAATTTTTAGGGTTTAGCTTTTCTGAAAATAATACCGTTGCTGTATATTGTGACATGCCAGAAATGTATTATTTTGGACTTGTAAACTTACTTAAAGGCATACTATAATTGTTTTGGGCAATGGGTGTCGTTCGTGTCAGAAATCTAGGGCACGTGCTCTGCATCTGCAAATAAGTACCCTAAATGCCGCACAGCTACTGGCAACATTTTTTTCGACTATACTGTATGTCACTTATGCAGCTTCTAGCTTCTGTCCTTGCCTGCTGGCCCATCCACCACTTGTCAGACCTGTAGCACATTGCTGAGAATGCATTTCAGAGCACTTCCCCCAGCTCTGTGCTACAGGTCTAACAGGCAGTGGATGGGCTAGCACCCTTGATCAGGGCAAAACACACACTATGAAGTGAGCATTTAATGGCTGTGGTTTGTATAGTCTTTATTCTGGACAGAGATCACAATGGCAGAATATGTTAATGCTCCTTACAATTTCCAAGTATTAAAGTAAATATAGCGATTTACACAACAGAACAAAGGTGTCCACTACAATGGCCATTTGTAGAGAGTGGTTTCTTGATTCGATGCCCATTTTCTCAGAGGGCAGTAAGACAGCCATATGTGTGGGAGCAGCAAAGGAATTATGCCTGAGACCGAGGAGAATAGGAGTAGGAACAGCTGAAAAATATTACTGTCATAGTGATGATTGCTTTTATTTGTATCCCTAAAAGATTCTATAATGCTCCAACCTGACAGCATTCCGTGGAAGTTTAATATTACTAGAGCAAATCACTGGATGTGCAATACAGCCATTTTTTTTTTATTTCATGAAACATTTTTTACAATTAATCACTTTTATTGGTTTGAATAGGTCAGATGATCAATCATGCAGGTTGCGGGATAATATTTTTTTTACACTGCTGTAAGACATTTATTAATGAATATCTATAGCAGTTCTATGAACAGGCAAAGTTTTTGAATGGAGATGCTAAATAACAAAAAAACAAAACATTGCTTTATTAGTAACTGAGATCATTAGTTGAGCCATGCACAGACTCCTTCTGCTTGATAGAAACATTAAACAAGGTCCCGTTTCAGTTCAGCTTTCTATGTGTCAGGCAAACTGGAATACATTTCACAGGGTGAACCCTTGAGTAACCTCTAGAATTATTTGCTGTTCCATAAGGTCAAGATTTATTATAATTTGCTAGATTATTTTGGTGTCCACTTATCTAGCTTACTTCAAATCTTGCTTGGGAATTGTAGATTCAACAAGCCAATGCAAACTTCAGTTTGCATGATCATAAACTCTTCTTTTGGCATTCTGAGGCCTCCTAATTTAACTAGATCATGTGTTATAGGTTTATTCTAGGGCTGTCTCCCAGATATGTGTGCCTGCAATAATCTAAGCTTTAATGGGGCAGCTGTAAAAAAAATTGAAGCCTACAGAATAGTGAATCTAAGGGTGGCCATATATGGTCAGATATCTCCCCAAGAATGACAAGAAAGGACATATCCACCCATCGTAGCATGATTTATTAAGCATCAAGACCACCTTTAATACTTGCCTAGTTTTGGCAGGGTAGCACACATGGCCATCTAATCCTTAATTCTTCTCCATATGAGTAAAGGATAAGGACCTGCTTATAGTAAGATTTTTCAAAAAGTTGGAAAATCTCCTTCTGCAATAGTAAATACCTGAACCTTTTTACCACACTCATTGTCTACCTCTACCACCTCAGAAACAGCAAAATTGCAACCAATACTTGAAATCAGGAAAGTCGGTCTATAACCATCCTAATTCAAGACATTTTCAAAAGCAACAAACCTCAAACTCTAACTTACTGGTCAAGGATATCTGATAATTTTTCCATCCTTTTAGTAATGGGCATAGAAGCCATCTTAACACAACAGACATTTCAGTACTGATTGCACTACCTGTAGTTATTGTGATTGGATGCACAAAATCAGTGGTAATTAAATCAAAAACTAAACAGATTTGTGGTCTAAAAAGAAAGGAGATCATGTTTTTGATTCGCTCAATGTAAAAACAGAATTATCAGGGTTATTCACTAAAGGGTGAAGAGTTTGGAGAAGCAGGAGAAGTAAACAATCTAGGCCAAAATAGCCGATTTGGAAAAATTCTCTAATTCAGCTCACTTTCCAGTTCAGCTATTTTGTCCTAGATTGTTCACTTCTCCTGTCTTCTCCAAACTCTTCACCCTTTTCTGAATAACCCTGTATGTGCTTTCTTTCTGATCCCTCAATGGTCAAGTTTAGGAAGGAATTAGATGTTCATACTAAGTTGTGGTGAAGTTTCTGTGTGATTAATTCTTAGTATTGCAGCCAAAGACTGTAAAACTTGCAGCTGTTTGACACACAGGCCGGCCAACAGATTTTAGCTTACAGTACAGTGACCTAATACAATGTCCTCTAATACTTGTATATGTTAACAAAAGAACTGCTTCACCTGTAGTGTCTTGTGTCCCGAATGGGCCGGTCACTGCTCAGCTTGTCACTTTCCAGCTGGTTAAAAGCATGTTGACGGTAGGGATCCTCTCCGGCCTTCAGAAACTTTGAGGATAGATAGGTCTTCTCATCAAAGCCATTCAGTTTCCCCTTCTCTGTCTGGAGGGCTGACGTCACCTGGAACAAAACCCATCTCATGAAACGTGCTCTGACTGCATTTCATCCTGTAAATCCTATACAGTTCACACAGCCTGGATATTTTTGGCAGAAGCAAAAGGTGAAGCAACTAGCAATACAAAGCTTTTCTAAGACCGGCTGTGCTCCAAAAGCTGTGACTAAAAAGGGAAAGTATAGAACTAGCAAATATAATGGAAATATTAGGTAGTTCATTGCTAATAGTTTTATTAGACAGTAAGGTAGTCAAGTGTTCAGCATTCTTACTTTTCAGTATTTAGATCCCAAGTTTGATTTTCAGTAAATGTACTATATGAAGGAAGATGGTATAGATTATCTGTGCTAGTATGAGTGTCTGTATGGTGCTACTGGTTCCTTTCACAATCAAAATTTTACTGCTAGGTTAACGGTTTCCTTCGGAACCTGGACCAAGCGTGTGTGTTTGTGTGTGTGTGTTTGAAGGTCTGTAGTAATGGCACTGAAGTGTAACGTCCACCAGGAGAAGGAATTAAAGGGAGCAGTCTATGTTTTGTATGCACTGTAGAATATATAAGCAGTATGCAAGTTACTACTATCATTATTTAACTATAACCATTTGCCAGTCAGACTAGTTAAAAAAATGTTTTTGCTTAAATATTAAGTACATTATCGGCCCACATGCCCACTCTCACTCCCCTGATCATTCCAGGATGTACTGACACAGACATTCACAAGTACATACTGTATAATTCAGCCTACGCCAGGTGCTTCTGGTCTTTTGCGGGGGCTGCTACATGTTTTGCTATTTATCCCTGGCTTTAATAGAGACTGCATATTCCTGTAGGTCCACTGCTGTAGTTAATGGCAAAGAGCCGGCCACATGCAGTATGGTTCCTGGCAGACATGTGCAGTTCCTGACTCCAGTATAGACCACAGCATCAGTACCTGGAAATGCACTGATCTGAAGTCTGTGTTTTTACATACTGAAGTAATCAGGAGGACCAGGGGTTGTGGGTGGATAGTGTATAACAAAATTCCTCTTATCCTTTAATTTTGTCTACAGTAGGAATATATTGGATATAGTTCTAGATCACTCTGTAACTTTTCAGACTATGCTCTACTTTATTAGCACCAAGTCTAGTGTTTCAGCTGTACCCAGAAATGACATCAATACAAGCAGTTCCAAGCTATTGTATAATGAAGATTATCACACCCCAAGAACAATTAGTTGCGGCACAGATTTCACACAACAGTATTAGGCTAGTCATAGAAGAAATGATTTCCTATCTAAAGCTGGCCATGCACCTTGCAATCATCGGACAAATATTTTCGTCCGATGATCGAACCGTTGTACGATTTTCATACGGCGGCCCCATCATGCACCGACCATTGCACAGTTCAGTTAGCGGTCGTTAGTAAAATCACTTTGCCGTATTTCGTTAATTGATGGCACGGATTTTCGTTTGCGCATGAGCGTTAATCGTGCGATTTTTTGGACGTACGAAAACGCCACCAACCTTGCAAATTTTGTACGATTCGACAGAAGTTTTCTAACTTCCTGGAAAGTCAAAAGTTGTACGATTGTACAGTATTTGCGGTTGTACACTTAACCTTGCGAATATTAGACGAAAAGGCAAACGCAAATGAAAATCGGCCAATATTCATTAGGTGTATGGGCACCTTAAAGAAGACTCTACAGATTGCCACAATAACCACACAATCCAATTTACACAAATTATCTCAAACTGGTAAATGGTGAAATTACTGATTTTCCAGAATGCTCAGCATGTTCGGCCGACCCGAAGTGCAGAAGGAGTTCGACTCAGCCGATCCAACATCTGGATCGGCTAAGCCGAACCTCCGGCAGGCTACTCGCTGCTGTTCGGTCTATTCTTATAGATGCTGAACAGCAGTGAGTGAATAGCCGAATGCCGCTGAGCAGCATTCGGCTCGGTTGTTCTGCTCGGTCCCTCTGTGGGACCGAACAGAAAAATAGTTTAAAAAGTAGAAAACATTTATAGAAAACAATTGTGCGGAGCTAGCAGTGACAGCTAGCTCCGCCCAACTGTTTTCTATTGTCCGGCGGTTCTGCTGCCGTCCAAAAAAAGGAAAAGAAACCTCTCTCGGGTGCTCCGGGAGTCTCCCGCTCCTGGCCGCCAAGGAGAGAAACACTGCTTTTTCGTTTTTTTTTCTTTATTCTTTATTCTGAGCCGTGTCAGAATAGAAAAAAAAATTTAAACAAATGTTGGCCATAGGAATGCATTGCTAGATTCCTATTGGCTATTTCAATTTGCAATAGCCAATAGCAAACTAGCTATTGTTCCCGCCCTCTGCTGCTGTCAATCAGTAGTTGTGGGCCTGATGGAGAACTGCAGCAGAAGGCGGGTGCAATGCTAGTTTGCTATTGGCTATTGCAAATGGAAATAGCCAATAGGAATCTAGCAATGCATTTCTATGAGCAAAACATTTTTTTCCCTATTCTGGCACGGCACCATGTCAGAATAATAATAAAAAAAGAAAAAGCAGTGTTTCTCTCCCGGGCGGCCGGGAGAAAATAGAACCAAAGAGGTCCTGGGGCCGAAGCTAGCCGAAGGAACGGCCGAAGCTCCGGCTAGATCCTTCGGCTGCTTCGTGAATAGACCCCTATGTATTACAGAAAAATAACCCCAGCAGCTCTCCCTTTCGCTTATCTTTGCTGTCCTCCTTCTCCTGCTGGAAACATTCAGCATTTAACATTCAGCAATGCTTCCCCTTTACACTTTTTTTAATATAGAGTTTTTATTTCAACCATAAGAAAGCTCATAACTAATCCCTGGCACTACTGCACACTTTATTGCTGTGGTCTCAGAGTTACCCTGCTCCTCCATGACTGGCAGTAAAATAAACCCTTTTCTATTGCAATATTGCTCTAAGCTCATCTAGATGCCCCATAAACTTTTTTTTTTTTTTTTTGCCAAACCATGCTTATTTACAACATAGTTTCCTGTAGTATACTAAATAAGCTATTGTTGCTTAAAGGGGGAGACTTTTTGGCTTTCCTGTACTGGTTGCTTAAAGTTGAACTGAAGCCAAAACGTTTTGGGGGGTTTTGGATAGAGTAAGGGAGGGTTATATCCCCTGTCAACAATTTTTTGCCATCTGTGTCCTTTTGGAGAGATTCCCCTTCACTTCCTGTCCAATAGCCACAACACGCAGTGAGCAGAAATTCCTCCAAAGAGAGGAAAATCCATGGTGGTCAGCAGAACTAATGTCCCCTTTGGAAGATTTACCATTTATTCCTGTTTTGATGACAGCCTAAAATTTGGGGTTTTCATTCACTTTCACTTTCAGTGATAATGGTCACCATGGCAAACAGCGAGGATGAATCTCCCTAACGGAGACACAGACAGCAATAAAAACCTGCCAGATGATCTAATCTCTCTCCATCCTACTCAAAAGTTTTGGCTTTGGTTGCACATTACTACATTGCACCCGCCCTCTGCTGATGGACCTGATGGAGAACTGCAGCAGAGGGCGGGTGCAATGCTAGTTAACTATTGGCTATTGCAAATTGAAATAGCCAATAGGAATCTAGCAATGCATTCCTATGGGCAAACATTTTTTTTTCTATTCTGACACGGCTCAGTGAAAAAAAAAGAAAAAAGCAGTGTTTCTCTCTTGGGAGACTCCCAGAGTGCCCGGGAGAGTTTTTTTTTCTTCTTTTTTTTGACGGCAGCAGAACCGCCGGCCAATAGAAAACTATTGGGCGGAGCTAGCTGTCATTGCTTGCTCCGCACAATAGTTTTCTATTTATTTTCTTTGACTTTTTAAACTATTTTTCTGAATCATGCCCACAGACATGATTCAATATTTTTCCCAGCACCATATTTACTATATTGTATACTGTACTGAATACTGCAAGGAGGGCACAAAAGTGTGCATGCTCATGTAAACTTTTTGATTGCAATAACCAATTTGTTAATCATAGCCATGCTTACAGTGAATGGGCTGTGCGCCAAGTACATTGGCTCTCAACTGGTCAACACTGATTTCCTGACAAAGCTGTGTTGCTTAACCCAGTTAAAATCTGTCAAACAATACAGACCATTTGATACACAGCCATGGCAATGTATGTCTGTGTACATGTTAACATGCATTATCAATCATGCTACCAGATCGTGCAGTATATGTAAGTTGCGGACGGTGTGTTGGTATTAATTTAGAATAACAACCCATTGCACATATTCAGTGTAAACAAACTCACTGCCCTTTAGCACACCACAAGCCACAGATGGGAATAAAATAAGAGGCCGTATGTTATTTCTTGCATTAAGACCTGTTAAGGACCATTCAATGTAAATCAGCTGTCTTAATGCAATATGCGTCAGTGCACACAAAAAAAAATAAGAACATACAGTGAAGTGGATATAGGTGTGAATAGAAGTCTATAGTCCAGACAAATCATGTGACATATCTTCTTATCTGCTACAATTGTTCCCTTCTCCCTGACCACTTTGTATTCACATTTCTGTGATATATATGATATATCTGATATATTCTGTGTAATATCTGTCCATGTGTTTTTGCCTTTTATCTGACACAATTCAGCGCTGTGTTCCTGTACAAATTTGTCATGCTGCGGTGGGTTTTCTGCAGCCTAAAATAATATACAGTTACCTTTAACAAAATATATCTCTATGGTTTTAATCATCAGATTTATACTGAAAGATCAGAGTGCCAAGGACAGGCGAACTGTGGATGCGGATGAATGATGGGGAAGAGTAAATGGGGAGCAGCAGTCAAACGAGTTTGATGTCCACCATTTCTTCATATTGTGAGTCTCCATCCTTTTACCTTGTTATATATCCTGTTATCCTCTACATAACATTCTCCTACGGCCCATTCATGCCATAGTGTTTTGTGGGGTCCGTGCACTTAGCACATACTATTGCACAGCGCATGGTAACACACGCTAGGTGCTCTGGTGCATTGAGTTGCTATTCATTCAGAATAGCACCCCAACGCACATTCCAATGGGCAAGAGT